AAATTCCCAAACCAGCAAGTAAAGGAATAAACTGTACAGCCCTTTTAGATCTTCCAGCTATATGCTCAAAAGTAGGGACAGGGATGAGCTCACTCCCAGATATAATATCTACATCAGGCAGAAGGAGAGCCAAAACACATAACCATGTCCAGTTAGTGGGAAAATGGGTATAAGCTTTATTGCCACCACAGACAAAAATCGAACTGTTATGGGAACACAAGGAAGTAGAAATGTTGATAAATGACTGACAATTTGCAAGTGTAGCAAACCCAACGTCGACCTCAAAACTATTATTAACTGAAGGGGAAATGAAACAAGTAGCATTATAAAACTGTTAAGGTTGTACCTGCAAAGGGAAAGTTAATGAACACTGATGACCAACAGAATAATTCAGAAATGAAGCGGGAAAAGCAACAGGGACAGGCTGTCATACTATCAGACAGAGCCAACAATTTTGAGCAAGATCAGGATTGGTGGCATTAAGCAACTTATGAGTTGCATAAAGAAGGTTGGAGGTCTGAGGATCAAGATCTAAATCACCCCTGTTCATGGGCAGGGCCAGAGGGTGATAGGTAAGTTGAGGAAACAAAATGTCATGCATTTCTTGAATTTTTGTTTCCACTTTTAGAATTCTAGTTTGGTCTTGAGGGCCTCCTCCATCAGATATGTGAATGAGGGGAGTGGTGGGCCAACAAACAGGTTGACCTACTGAACCTGTACAAGAGGCTTGGGCATACTTATTCGAGGCAAGCCCAACAGCAGGAGGAGGACCTGCAAGATCCCCTCCAAAAGTCCCCACATAATTTTTAATTAGGGTGGCTGTGAAGTATGTTTGGTTTCCAGAAGGGCACAATTGGTATGAAGAATAACAAGTGCTATGCATAGATTCAGTCAACGTGCTGCAAGGACATGGCTTAAGGTTCCCACCACTGCTGGCTATGAACTTAGGTTTTTCAACACAACTGTAAGCTGGAGATGATTAGGACAAATAAGCTGAATGGGTGTCACAATCTACAACAGATATGTATGATGTAGGAGGACTAGAAACGGTCCCACCCTTGCAATCACATGGTTTTCTGTACTGTTTGTTCACCAATTGGTGAGCGAGTCCAGGATCTCCAAAGCCAGACTGGACCTTGGGCAGCTGACCAGACAAACTAACAATCAGGAAGAAAATGCTGGTTGCCATGACCCCTGTGGGAAAGAAAGGAAAAAGACATGCTCAGGGATCTAGCAAATCCCTGGCTGAGAGGTTATGATCAACTTGTTTACCCAGCCGTTCTGGCAGCCATCTGGCCGAGTTATGAGTGCGAGAAAAAAGACAGACTGAACCTCTACCCCAGATCAAAACTGGATCTGGGCCATTCCAGGAGTTATCTAGGGGGTCCTTCCATTTGACCATGGCAAATTGTGATTGGGACTCAGAATGCCAAAACCGGTCAGCAGCTGATTTGCCGCTGACATCAATATTTAAAAAATTAAGGACAAAAAGGCATGACTTAGTAAATTCCTGGGGGAGCCTCTTGTGGGGTACCAGTCCCCCTTTTTTATTTTTTCAAGGCAAGTTTTTAGAGATAAGTGGGCTCTTTCAACAATTCCTTGGCCTTGAGGGTTATAGGGAATGCCTGTAATATGTTGAATGTGTAATCTAGCACAAAAATCTTGGAAAGCCTTGGAGGTATAGCCAGGGCCATTTTCCGTTTTAATCTGTTTTGGGATTCCCAGGATTGAAAAACAATGTAGCAAATGAGCAATAACATGTTTGGTTGCTTCTCCTGTCTGTAAAGTGGCGAGCAAAAACCCACTGTAGGTGTCTATGGACACGTGAACATATTTTAGATTATCAAATTCTGATAAATGAGTAACATCCATTTGCCAAAGCATATTTGGGACAAGGCCTCGAGGATTAACTCCCAAATGGGGAACAGGCAAGAGTGTAACACAGAAAGGACACTGTTTAACTATCTGTCTAGCTTGTTCTCTAGTTCTACTATTGTAACTGTGTTTACTTTTAGTTATATCACGGTCCCTACTCCTAGACTGTGCACGTCTATCCTTTTCCTTACTTTTATTATGATCATGCTCATTTTTTATTCTAACTGTTTAGACTTCTCTTTACTTCTACTACTTTCCTGATCTTTTCCTTTAGAATCAGACTGCTTTTCTTTTTCTTTAACATTCTCATGATCCCTTTCTTTACTCCTTGACCTCATCCTCTTTTCTTCATTTCTATTATGTTTTGAATCTCTTTCCTTACTCTTTGATTTCTCTTTGCTCTTACTCCTACTCTTAGACTTGCAAAAATAGCAAAATACAACACACAAAATACTAAATGGACTTTGGATATGTTGAGTGTTTAACTTTGTAAACTATCAAATTTTGCAACTTTCTACTCTGCTCTATATGGCAATGTTATACATGCCAAGTTAAAGTAATGTTAAGAGTAACGGTATAAAGCCACCTGCATATAAAGAAACCAGAGTCATAAACATGCTATAGCCGATCGTGATACATATATAGAAAAGATGCATTTTCTTGCCATTTGAAACTCACAGCTATAAGTTAGAAAAGTTAGTTCAAGTTAAAAAGACAAAACAAAAAAACCCATGCAGAATTA